TGTGAATAAATAAATACAGAAATATAATTAAAATAAATAAATATATAAATAAATTTATAAAGAAAATATAAAAAAAAAAAACAAAATTAGTGAGGGGGTGAAATTTACGTTATAGCAGCAAAATTAGGAGGTGCTGTTAGAAAGGGCCGGAATTCAGATTTTGAATTCAGACCCAAAATGGCCAGGGGGTGCATAGTTTTCAACGTGTTAGCAATTAAAACAAATAAAGGGGGGGTGCTTGGACATGGGCCAGACCCAGGTGATTAAGAGTCTGCTTGGATAATACATGGTAGCGTGCAAGGTATTATCATGGACACGCACGCCTATAAGCGTTGGATGGCGATCAAGTGATTGACACTGAGGTGTATGGTAACAATCGTGAGGCGATGCGCACGTGATCTTTATACTAATAAAAACATTTTAATCCACAAAATTTTTCATTCTCCTATTTTTTTTCTCTCTCTTTCTTCATCCTCGTTCTCTCTTTCCCTCAACCGAACCCTAACTCCCTTTCAACCATTCTCCGCAGTGCAAAACCTCACTCCTCTCCTCCCAAATCAAATTAAAAATCTGACTCCAAAACACCTAAACTAACAATCCTGAACCTCCAAATCCTGCAGCAATATATGAGAGCCAACAATCGGGATATGAGTTAAGTTCATTATACCTTTATCACCGTGAGATATCTGTTATGGTGCTTCGATTCCTCGTTCTCTTTACTAATCATATTCGTCTTCCTCCGTGTCACAGGTGCGGTGCGATGGAGAGGATAACGAAGATCGTTGCAGCGGTGAGATAGCGGCGAGGCTGAAGCGGATTTGGAAAACACTTTCGTTCTCCCCCCCCTCCCATTTTTCTCTATTTCTCTCCCCCTACTTATAGAAATTAGGAATTAGAAAATTAGGAAATTAGGTCTTTTATGTTTTAGGAAAGGATTTGAATATTTTAATTTCGGGTTAATTAGGTTCTACGATTTTGGACACTGTATTGATTCATATTAAATAAATTCCAGATTTGTTGATATAATGTTTTCTGCAATTTAAGTCTGTCGTTTGAATGCTAAAGAACAAGTTCTATCTCTCCACGCGCGCGTACAATCTCAACATTAGCTGTTTTAGGGGAATTTGGTCATATATTTTTTTTGGATATGTATTGTGTTTGAGTTTTGCTGGGCCGTGCCTTTAACTTGGGCCTCTAATAATATAATAATACAATAATAATGTTTATAAATAAAATAATTTTTCAAAACAAACACAAAAATTAAAATGGGCCATCTTTACCTATTGGGCCCTTATTCCTAATCAAACAATCTGTCTAAGGCAACGCAACCCCATTTGAATCAAGAAAAATAGAAAATAATTTCTAAATAAGTTTTTAATATAACGATTTAATTAATGTGATTCTTAATAATTATTTAAATAAAATAATAGTAATGATAATAATAATAATAATGTTATGATAAAACACTTTTCAAAATGAATCTAAAACTGAAACGGACCAACTATTTCTGCCATTGTACCTTGAACAAAGAAATGAAATGTTTCACACCTCTTTGGCTAGATAATGCACCTGCCTTTTAACTCAAAATAGAATCTATAATAATAATAATAATAATAATAATAATAATAATAATAATAATAATAATAATAATAATAATAATAATAATAATAATAATAATAATAATAATAATAATAATAATAATAATAATAATAATAATAATAATAATAATAATAATAATAATAATAATAATAATAATAATAATAATAATAATAATAATAATAATAATAATAATAAATAAACTTAATGGCCCATCAGATACTGATGATCCATATTTGGATTGATACACTCTTTTCTGATTTTAAACACCCTTATATATATATATATATATATATATATATATATATATATATATATATATATATATATATATATATATATATATATATATATATATATATATATATATATATATATATATATATATATATATATATATATATATATATATATATATATATATATAAACTATAAAAAGCAATTTTATTGAATAGAATCTTAAATATAATTAAGGGTAGGGCAAATTTGGGGTATGACATTCGCCTGCACACATTCCTCACATACCTCGTTTGAAATGTCGATTTCTGGCAAACCTGAAACTATATTTCTTCTCTTCAAATCTCTGATTTCTCTGAAGTTGAGATGGCCTAGTCGATAATTCCATATCCATTCATCTCTGCTAGCTGCAGTCGAAAGGCACTTGTGCTACATAAAATTTAGTTCGATCTTGAAGGTTCTATTTTGAGACATATGAGCCTTTAAGATTAATCTTCCATTTGTGTCGACGACTCTCATCATCTTATTCGATCGACACTTTATAATTCTTTTCGACCAACTGCCCTATACTGAGAAAATTTCTCTTCATGCATGGTATGTACAACACATTGGAAATTACTGACCTCTTGCCATCTTTCATCATAGTCATAACATCACCAATATCTTCAGCTGCTAGGGTATTGTTATTTGCGAATTTTACCATATTTTTCATTGAGGGCTTTATGTTGACAAACCATTGGTCCTTGAATCTATCTTCATCTCTTGTTGTGACCATCAGCATCATCTCTTCTTCTTCTTCATGTTTTGCAAACTTTGCATCACTTTCTTGATTCTTTCGCTTTTCTGGACAATCACTCGAATAGTGACCATACTTCTGACAATTGTAACATTGAATGTGACTCTTGTCAGGTTTTAGACCACCACCTCTTCCTCTATTTGCAACACCACCTCTTTGGTTGCCTTTGGTCTTCTCTAATTTGACATGTTTTCTTTGTTCTAGTTTCTTCTACCAGTCGATTTATTGTAGCCGCCTCTACCTCTATCAAACCACTTTCCTTTGTCTTTGGTTTCTTTTGTTGAATGTGCCTGCAAAGCCATATCACTCTTCGACTTGCCTGCAGCTGTTTCAGTCATTCTTTGTTCATGAGATTCAAGCGTCTCTTGAAGCTCTTCCTTTGTCAATTTCGACAAGTCTTTCCCCTCTTCTATAGCCACTACCACGTGGTCGAACTTAGGAGCCAAAGATCTCAAGATCTTCGAAACAACAACTCTTGTTGTTAATGTTTCTCCACATACCTTAATTTGATTCACTAGTTTTATAATCCTAGTGAAGAAATCAGATATGCTCTCACTATCTTCCATTTGAAGCAATTCATACGTTCTCTTGTGAGTTTGTAACCTCACTTCTTTCACCTTTTCTGCACCACCAAAAGACTTCTCAAGAACCTCCCAAGCTTCTTTTGCAGATTCTGAATCACTCACTTTTTCAAAATTTTCTAGACTCAGACGTTGGTGAATTATAAAGAGTGCTTTATAACTCAGCTTCTCAGATTCTGTGTGTTTCTTCTTTTCTTCTTCTGAAGTGTTTTCTCTAAGCGCTTCCAATCCATCCTTTACAAGATCCCAAAGACCTTGACACCTGAATAAAACTTTCATCTGTTTGCACCAATTCTCATAGTTATCTACTTTCAGAATTGATAGAGTTGCTGGATAATTTGCATTCCCATAACTCGCCATCGTGAATTCTTCTTCTTCGTCAACCATTCTTGATTGATACTTCCCTTGAATCGATTAACCGAGCTCTTAATACCAGATGATGGAAATCCACCAAATATCTATGATGAATTTCTATCAATCTTGATGAACAAGATTGATATCACCACACAATAACAATGAATTATGAGAAAAGAAAAGAAATAAGACAATTATTTTCTGCAGAGTTTCTCTCTGCCCACAAACTGTGAAAAACTTTATTAATCACTTGCAACTGCAACTGTGATTACAATGAATTGACTTAATTATAAAATTAGGGGTTACTCCCTCTATTTATAGATTTAGGTTAGCTTGTTTGTTAAGCCATAGCCCAAAACTATAAAAGTCCAAAATACCTATTTTGATATTAAATCAAATTTATCTATCTAAATTTAAAACCAATCAAATTTGTGTGTAGCTTCCTTCGATCTACAAACTTTTCGACACAGACAGTTTCGACATAATAGAATTATAATTTAACAGTTTTTAATGCATGATATAATTTTGATCAAATTTTCATAAAGATACTTATACATGATTTATTGTTCCTTGTGTGGGGTATTGTTATAGCAACTAATTTTAGCAAGTATCAATTTCCCAAGTTTCGACAGATTGAAGCTGGTTGTGGAACTATTGTGTTCAAAGATTTCCTTTGTTCCTTTCTTTTTACTCTGTACAGGTGAATGGTCTCTAACAAAACTCTTGTAAAAATAATGCTATCTTTTAAAAACTCAATGTCGATGCCAATTGAGCTAACAGTGATCAAAGTATTTTTTGATATGAAATTTAAATTTCCAGCTTCAATATTCTGAACAAAGAGAAAGTGAATTCTTATTTTGTTATTAAGCTTTTGAGTTTAAGCACAATGAAGAGACGTTGGTTAGGCAAAAATTGTTTTGGTGTGTGTGCATGCACAAAATAAATTAAACTGTACAAAATAATTGAGTTGAACACATAGTATAACCCAGAGAAATCATGTAAGTACCATATATGTTTGTTTTCTTTATAGATTAAGCAATTGATATTTAGCAATTACAATGTAACTAAACATGAAATATATGTATGTATATTGTTCTTCATTCTCCTTAATCAACTTGTCTTAGCATGGCAAATATTTTGTTCCACGACATGCTTTAGAATTCTCAACTAATTTCTAACAGAGAAATCAATTGCATCAACCCTTGATGATAAATCTGATTCAGTTAGAGACCAATAAAGGATGTTTGAGTCAGTGGATATACAAGTTCTCGGCTTAAGGAAGGATTGCAATATAAAGGGTTAGTGATGAAAACATCACCAAAACCAGCCAAATATAAAATTTAAATTGGTAAAAAGACATAAAAATCAGAAGTAAGATTAATTTCTATATAAACACAATCCATCACATTACCTGAAATTCACTTCAAGTTCAAAATCTAGTGGATTGGGAATTGTGCTGCCACTGGAGGCATAAAGAATCCATGCTGCAACTGTAAGTAAAAATACTGCATAAGTTTACGAATCATTCATCGATAAACACTTCCACCTTAAAAACATGTTTAAAAGGTTAACTTATATTCGTTGAGAATCAAGTGTAAAGAAGAAGTCCCACAGTAATTAAAAAATAGAAGACTGAACACTCTATAAATGAGAGAATCCACACATTTATCACCTTAAAGTTTTAGGTGGATATGTGGTGTATTTCTTACGAATCCTAACTACCAAATTACATACATTGGTTACTTGAAGGAATAACTTGTTCCATGTTTCGATTTCATCGAGACTATAAAGCTTTCTAATTCCTCCATAGAATCCACCTCCACCTGCTCGATCACCTTGTTCACCATTCTTTCTTGATAACTTTATTCGTCTCATATTCGATCGCTCAGGATATTGCTTGAACTCCACGATCAACGTATCTATCATAAAATACACAAAATAGACTGATTATTTAAATGTATATGTTCGCGCACTTTAATAAAATAATTAGAAAAAAATTCTCACCACTGCAATGGCACTGGCAATAATTCTCATTCTCGTTACATGATTCTAAGTGGCTAATAACTGCGTACCACCAATCTGCTATATACATTTCACAGTTATTATAAATGTGGTTTTATATCTATCTCGTAGAAACAGAATTGAATTAGAAGCAGATATGTTATATACCATAAGGACTTTGAGTACTTGCTCTCCACTGGATCTCAATGTGATTCCCTGGTTTCAACTTGTCTAAACAATCAGAGACATGAGCAACATATGGATGAGAATCAACTGGTGGAACTCTCACCATATCCCACTCCATATTGTTTCCAAATAATCGCCAACCTCCATATTGATACCTAAACACAAATTATTTATGCAAAAGTAAACACGATTAAGATTAGAAAACAACATCTTGTTTATCATTTCTGACAAGTTGGTCTAAGGTTTTGTAATACTTATATACATATTTCATCGATCAAAACATAATTAAAAAGTTAAATACCTTTTTTTCCTTTATCTTTGACTTTGGGTCTAATTTAGTTTCTTAACTTTTAAACACTATTTTAGTCTTTCAATTATATAAAATATTTCACGTTAATCTTTTCCGTTAACTTAGTTAGTCAAGGTGAATAAGATAGTCTACGTGGCATTGACGTGCAAGTCAAGTGTATGTCACATAATAAACAAACTTTATTGAAAAAGTGGTGTTGTTTTTCAATTTGGGTCCATGTTTATTGAAAAAGTGGTGTTGTTCTTCAATCTAAGTTCATGTTGACGAGGAACTAGGTTTGAGGATGGAGTTGAATTGGGAAGAAGATAGATGTTGGATTTGTTGAACTTGGTCTGAATTTCCGTCCAGGAGAAAGAAACATGTATTAGAGTCCGAATCAAAAGCATCATCTTCACAGTTCCAAAAATTCTTCTTCAATCATGTCCATAGAAGAATAATTCGAAGAAATCCAAATTCCAGAGCAAAAGCTTCTATCAAACGGATTTTGATTTCTCACGCTAGTATCACCGTCAATCACATCATGTACACTCCTTATAAACGTGAAGCACTCAATCAAACCACACAAACCCTACTTGGAATCACTTTTACTTCAATTAATTCGACGCACCCATCATCAGAGGCTTACCACTCCAAACCACATCGCACTTTAACGACGTCGTCAAAGCCTTCAACTACGAGAAGGCCCAATTAGGCACCACGAACGAATATCCACCAGATCAGAAAAAATCTTTTCATCTTGATATGACTTAGGTTCCTCAAAGATGGTGTATCTAAGGTAATTAATGTCGGTGATGTTTTGCTTGCAAACCAACATGGAAATGCAACTGTTACTTAGAGGTGTCAAACATGCTCTAGATGTCTTCTTTAATTTGATCTTTGTGCATATGCTTGATGATTGTGGTTATGACAATTACTTTGGTTCTGGAAAATGAAAACTCAACAAAGATAACTTGGTTGTGGCTAGAGGGGAGAAGCTTTATAAACGGTATTAGACAAAGCTTTGATTGCTAGGGATAGTATGAATGTTATCGACATGCAAACATTTTTGTGGCACTAAAAACTTGGTCATATTAGTGAAAAGGGGTTGAATGTTTTAGTCAAAAAGGATGTTCTTTCAAGATTAAAGAATGCATATTTGGAGAAGTGTTCTCATTGCTTAGTTGGTAAACAGACTAGAGTGTCTTTCAAGAGACATCTTCCCTCAAGGAAGTCAAAGTTGCTTCAATTGGTACATTATGATGTTTGTGGTCCATTACAAGTAAAAAAATTTAGTGTTTCACTTTATTTTGTTACCTTTATTGATGATTGTTCCGGGAAACTATGGGTTTATGCCTTGAAGACAAAATACCAAGTGTTGGAGAAGTTCAAAGAATTTCATGCTTTGGTAGAGAGGAAAATAGACGAGAAGTTGAAATGTGTTCGTTCTGATAATGGTGGTGAGTATTATAGACTATTTGATACCTATTGCAAGCAGCATGGTATTGCACAAGAAAAGAATCCTCCTAAAATTCTCAATTGAATGGTTTAGAAGAGAGGATGGGTCGAACACTAATTGAGAGAGTAAGGTGTATTCTCTATGAAGCTAAGTTGCCAAATCATTATTGGGGTAAGGAAATTTACACCGTGGTGCATGTTCTTAATCTCACTTCTACTATTTCTTTGAACTGTGAAATTCTAGACAAAGTTTGGTTTGGAAATAATGTAAAGTATGATCATTTGATAGTCTTCGGCTGTAAGGATTTTGTACATATTACAAATGATGAAAGATTCAAATTGGATGAAAAGTTAAAATAATATATCTTCATCGACTATGGAGAAGATGAGTTTGGTTATAGGTTGTATGATCCTATAGGGAAGAGCTTATTAGAGTCTGATATGTGGTGTTCATGGAAGATCAAACTATTGAAGATAATGATAAGGTGGAGAAGACTACACTGAAGAAAGATACCAGTTTGTCTAATATTGATACAGTCTGGTTACATGTTCATAATTTGGATACTATTAGGGATGGTGATCAAAATAATTTTCCAAATGATCATGTTGATGATCAACAACTTGAAGATGAGTTGAATATTCCAACTAAAGATGATCAAGGAGAGAATGATATGTCACATGATGAGAATATTATTGAAGCTCTAGAATCATTGCAAGTTCAACTTAGAAGGTCTAATAGATATAGACAACCTTCTACAAGGTATAATTCAGATGAGTATGTGACCTTGACTGGTGAGGGCGAACCTGAGTGTTTTCAAGAGGCCATGTAATGTGAAGATAATAAAAAGTGGTTGGATGCAATGCATGATGAGATGAAATCATAGCATGATAATCACATTTATGATTTAGTAAAGTTTCCTAAAGGCAAAGGGGATTTGGAAAATAGGTGGATTTATAGATTTAAATAATAGAGCAACTATAAGTCTCCAACGTATAAAGTCAGATTAGTGGTGAAAGTTTATGTCAAATAAAGGGTGTTAATTTTAATAATATTTTCTCCCTTGTTGTAAAATTGTCATCAATCAGAACCGTGTTGATATTTCCTACTACTCTTTATTTAGAGTTTGAGCAAACGAATGTGAAAATCGATTTCCTTCATGGTGATTCAGTGGAAGAGGTCTACGTGAAACAGCCTGATGGTTTTCAAGTTAAAAGCAAAGAAGATCATGTGTGTAGATTAAGAAAGAGTTTATATGGGTTGAAGCAAGCTTCAAGAAAATGGTACGAGAAGTTTGAGTCTGTTATTTGTGACCAAAGATATCAGAAGACTACTTGAGATCATTGATTCTTTGTTAGAACATTTAATAATAATGACTTCATTATCATGTTGTTATATATCGATGATATGATCATTATAGGGAAAATATTTTTAACATTGGCACATTAAAGAAGCAGTTGGACGAGTCATTTGCCATGGAAGATATGAGAGCATCTAAACTGATTCTTGGCATTAGAATTATGCGTGACAAAAAAGAGAAAAAAATTTGGATGTCACAAGAATATTATATCGAAATAGTGTTAGAAAGATTCCAAATGAAAAGTTCTAAGGCGATAAGCACTCCTCTTGCAACGTATTTCAAGTTGAGTTCTAATCAAAGTCCTTCAAGTAAAAAATGAAAAGTTTGATATGAAATGTGTTCCTTATGCGTTTGTTGTGGGTAGTTTGATATATATAATGGTATATACAAGACCAGATATAGCACATGATGTTGGTACAGTCAATAAATATTTTTCAAATCCAGGTAGAGAGTATTGAAATGCTGTAAAAATGACTTTAAGGTATCTTCACGGTACTACTTCTGCAAGACTTTGCTTTGAAGGATATAAGCATACTCTAGTGGAATACTTTAACTCTGATATGGCTGGAGACATTGATTCTAGAAAGTCCACTTATGGATATATGATTAAATTTATATGGGAAGCTCTAGCTTGGAATTCCATATTGCAAAGTGTGTAGCATTATATATTTATAGTCAAAGTGTTATTTATGTTGATAAGAATCTAAATTTTCATAATAGGTCCAAACATATTGATGTGAGATATCATTGGATACATAACGTTTTGGATGCTAAGTTGTTGGAGTTAGCTAAAGTTTATACATATGATATTGATTCTGATATGATGACTAAAGCATTACTAAGAGGGAAATTTGAAGCTTGTTGTGATATCGCTGGATTGGCGATTTCCTCCACATAGTTGTGAGGGGGAGATTTGTTAGGTTTGAGCCCCCTTTCTAAGTAGAGAAAGATCTAAATATGATTAACAAATTTGTCTCACTTATTTAAGTGGAGAGGGTCAATTTAGGATTGTGACAGATAGATAGAAAAGAAGACTTCAAAAGAGAGACAAGATGAGAGACTCTATTCCTGTTATTTTGTAACTAGTCTCACTAAATCGGTGATTCCAGACCCATTAACCGTCGGATTTAGCTCAAATTTGGAGAGCAAATTCGAAACATCTGTAGCTAACTTTTGACCTTATCAGATATTTAAAGCGAGGTATGAGCTAAGAGATATCAGCTTCCTAGTAAAGCTGTGAATTTAGGTTATTTTTTAATTTATTTTTATTCTTATTTGTAAGCTAGTTTATTTTGTGATTCGCATTTGTTAGCAATAGTTTGTGAATCACTTGAAAACTCTCGTGTACCCTTCTTTGTTTATTGTAGAGCTATTTCTTTGGTCTGGATGACACGTGATTTTTACTCTCATATTGAGAGGTTTTTCACGTTAAGATATTGGTGTTCTTTTGTGCATTTATTTGTTTGATTTGTTGTCATATATTTGTTGATGATCCTAATAGGTTCTTACAAGTTTGAGAAATTTTTTATCTATTGCGTATTGATTTGTTCTTGTGTGTTTATTTCCCATCAATGTGTTGTTATTTATTTATTTATTTTGATACTTTATTTTTCTTGTACTTGAGTCTATTTCGTTATATTTTTCTTGTAATTGATTTTTTTTTAACGACTTGAACTTAAGACATGTAAAAGTTTTATTATGCGTTATTAAAAAAATATCTTTTGTCAATCACTTTAGTAATAACTAACATTTTTATAAATTATATATTAAATCAATATATATATATATATATATATATATATATATATATATATATATATATATATATATATATATATATATATATATATATATATATATATATATATAATTGGTAGGCCGACCCGACAACTCCTTAATAAATATGATGAACTTAACTTTTAAACTCGAATGCTTAAATTATTTCGTCTCGCTCTGTTTCTAGATAAATTTAAATGTGACGGTCTAACCGGGATAGTCCGTCTACGTTACCATCCTTATGTGTAATCAATGCAATAAATATAAAATAGGAGAATAAATAAACTTTTGAAATACCTAGCTTGAAAGGTATTTGATTCAGAGTCATATCTAACCAAGGCATTGTGAACCACTAATCCCTGCAAACAAATTCAATCTATAAAAATTGAAAATTAAGTTTACATTCAACTATATATTGAGTCTTTAATTACCTTGTAGACCTGAGCAGGAAACCAAAACCTACCACGTTCTAAAGAGAAATATAAAGACATCATGAAGTGGTTTGACCATTGATTATTCATTAGTAATGAAGAATCTTGTAAGTATGAACAAAGGTAGAGATTAGGCCAAACACCAACAAAGGAACCAAATGATCCATTGTGATTATTGGTTCTATGATTCCCTTCCTTTGCTATTGTAACATGCAAATGCCACTCTTTATAAACAGCCTCACCAATGACTCTACCCCATTTGTTTTTCAAGTGCTTTTCCCATAAATCATCACTTTGACATTTGTCCCTTAAGAATATACACACCTCTAACATTCTACATAGGTCTTTTGGTGAAAGTTGGTTGATGATTAAATCTAAGGTCATTTCAGGCAAATCCAAGAGGGAAGACATGTTCTTTGATGAGCTAGCTAGTAGGTTGATTAGTTCCTTACTCTCTAATTATTCTATGTAGAGTATTCATCATCATAAGAGCTACTAATAAAAAAGGAAACAAAGAGTAAATATCAATGTTCGATGATCACTATTTCTACCTTGTTTTTCTCACCTACTTTGCCGGCCATTCCTTGGATGAGATTCGTTGCTATAAAAAATTCTTGTAGTTATGCATTCAAGCTTTAGTATCCTCTACATTAAAATCAAACAATTTTGATTTAAAATTTAGATAAACTAAATATTAAATTTATTATTTTTAAACGATAGAATCAAAATCAAACAATTAATATCATCATAATTAGTCATCTTGCTCCTGCTTTCCAATTCTCTCAATCTCCTATGAAAACTCATTAGCACTTCAAAGGTTATCCAAGAATGTTGTCTTTGATAAGAAGTATGCAATAGGAAAAGGAATACCAAATATTAATGACAATCAGTAGTTGTCATGCTCTTTGCTTTGTTTTTTACTTTAAGCATGTTTACTTTTTCACAAGAGATTTATTGTTCATTGTAATTTTCTTCAATTTAAAGAACTAATCTTTGTAATTGCGTGTAAAAAAAAACATTTTTTTAATAAAAGACGGAATTAATCAAGACCTCGTCTAAGCTCGAATATAAATTTTGTCAAATAATTTAACATAATTCCAACTCTATACACGAGGACATGCTTGGATGGAAACTCCAAAAATAAAAAATGAAGATAAGTGTGGAGCATATAGATTGATGGGAGTACAGAAGTGCCCTTCATCCCATTCAGATTTGGATATTACTTTATTCATCTTAAGGGATGAGGGAGAACAAATTGAGTATCTAAATTCACTCTTTTATATTTTAGAGATATATCTCCGGATGCACATAAAATACACACAACGCTTCACAAATGAACCATTCATCACAGATTTATCAAAATATGTATCGGAGATGCATCTCAGTAAATTTTTAGAGGTGATTACATAGATGCATCTTTAGAATAACTCCTTAAAGCATTTGAAAGGTTTTGTATAGGCAACAAGTGTCATTAATTGATATTTTTTATCCAATAATGATTATATTAATGATGATTATCCAATAATGATTATACTAAAGATATATTAACATCATGCTAAGTATACTGATATAATTCAAAGATGTCTGATATAAATTCAAACAACAAAACAAATCCAAATGTTACCACGATACATAACCCAAATGTTACCACTATATAAGTGCTACCAAAATATAAATAAAAATAAACTACTTGGTAGTTGTAACCCCTTTTTTTCTCCTGTCTCCATCGGTAGCCCTAAGACATTTTCTGACTCGATTAAGATGGTATGTAAGGCGATCATATATTGATTTCCTTCTGTAGCGTCTCCTCTCTCAATGGCATCTCTTGTAACTTGCACAATATATTGACGACCAGTAGCAAGTTCAATGTGTGGTCATCTCTAACTCATTCGTCTTCCAATATCTCATTATGAGCAGGTCTAAGTCATCAACATCTAGTGTCATGTAAGAATGTGACATTCGACAAAATCATTGGGTGTATCCTAGTTCATGAGACCATTTTCCCCCGAAGGCACATTGCATACCACATTTGATATCAGATGACTATAGAAATCATCAAGTATGGCATCAAGATCTCTGTAGAGGATTGTCGGAGGAGCGGACGTAGAGGGGTGTCTTGGAATCATATGTTGATACTCGAACTGGCGGATAACCCACTCAGGCAGAAGTAGATACATCAGGCGCGACCCTTAAGCCAACTGTCTAGAGTAAAAGGCTATCTCGTCCAAGGGACACGTCTGACGATGGTCATCGACAGGAAGAAGGATATTCCATCTGCTACAATGCGATCAATAAACACCATGTACGACTCTATCGCATGATTCCCTATGTACGAGACCAAAGCGCAAACACGAGGTCAATCCTCATTGTACTCCATATCAAGTTGCCACCAGGATATGCGAGGAAAGTGGGAGATGATCTACGTCTAAAAATAATTCAGATAAAATATTAGTAACAAGTGTAACACAAGCGTTGTGAAAATATTAATAATAATAATACAGGTTGCAAATAAATTGTAGTAAACTGTGTGCATCTTCTAGTCATTTGTTTTGTCTTGCAGGCAATGTCCTAAACATCAACAAATTTGTATATGTGTATAAACAAATTACTTATTTTGAATGTAACTATAAACTAATGCATTTTAAATAATCTATTTACTTAATACATGCATCACAACTCAAAAATAGAAAGAAAAATATAAACTCGCCGAATGAGAGATTTCTTGTGCGAAAGCTTGAATTGAGGGAATAGAATCTACTAGAATTGATTACAATGCAGTTAAAGTAGTGTTGGAGTTTGAAAAATTGCTTTGTTGATTTTTTCTCACTAACTCTGAAGTTGAAGGATTTGTGAAAGTGTAGAAATAGAGGAAGGAAGGATGAAAGTTTTGGCGCGAGTTATAACAATTAAAGTTCATTCGAAGATGCATATCTGCATACCTCATTGAGCGCAAATACACAAATTTTTAAATAAAAAATTATTATAGAAATGCATTTTCGAAAATATTTTTGAACAATATGAAATAACTCATCCAGCATTCGAAATATATAATTTAATCTCAAATTCAAAAACTTTTATAAGTTTTCACCATTGTGAACTAGTACCCTTAAATATTGAAAAAGTAATACCCTCTAAATTTTCATCCCATTCAAATTTTAGAGATCCAAATTAGAAGTGAAAACCGAACAACATTATGCCCAAAACATATTTCATTTCATGGCTTCACTTAGCATTTGTTTCTTTATGCGTTTGATCTCACATTAGTGCTCGTTTTTATTGAGACTACTATGGTTAAGCTTCTTATTTTCATATAAATTTATTTTTCATTTCACTTTGAAATATTTAAAATTGATTTTTTTTTCCAGTTTTTATCCCTGATATCAATTCAAACATCAAATAATTTCAACATTCTTCTGATCATAATTGCAGAAGATCGAACAATATTTCTTTCTACAAAATTGATTTTAAATATGGAAATTTAATTTTAACACATTTAGTTGTCTTAAGTAAAATTAATTATATTTTGTAGAATTAATTTAAAATTAAAATTTATAATTTTTAAATCTAACCGTACTTTTATGCTGAAATTTATCATTCATATTACTTTTTCAAAAATTTATTCAAATATATATTACTTTATCTTCAATTTATATTTAATTAAAAAATCAATCTTACATAATTAATTAACTCAAAATCAATAAGTTTTACCGCAAATAATCATTTAATTATTTTAAAATCATTAATAATTTTTATAATTAAATCAAAATTTTATAATTTTATAAGGGTGGCAAAAATATACACATGCAAATTAAGTTGTTGGAGTTGGACACTTCTTTAGGCCGAACACAATATTCGGATTTGGTGTAAAGAAGTTGGGATTACACTAGATAAGATAATTCACGGGAGAGGATCTCTTTCCATTTTTAATTACTTTTTCTCTCTTCTAATCATATAAAAAACTGACAATGTTCCTACAGAAAAATAAACTCCTGCAGTAGCAATTATTAATCAGTCTAATGGTAATTATCATTAAATTTAATAAGAAAATCAGAAACTAATTGAAACTTCTTGATGACAGAACTAATCTCCAAATCAGATTATATCGGTTATATAGGTCAAAGAAGAAAAAAAAAACTCCCACATTTTTTTAATAAAATATAAAACAAAAAAAAACATTGTATCTTAACCATATTTAAATTCGGTTGGTATTATGGTGGTGATAAGCCAAAGAAAGAAAAAAAATAGACTCCCGTATTTTTTTAATAAAATATAAAACAAAAAAAAACTTCGTATCTAAACCGTATTAATTTCGGTTGGTATTAGACATGATATTTCTCTAAGTACAAAATAGAATAAAATCAATTAAACTATAAAAGGCTACACAATTTATATACATCATTTGACAATTAAAGGGGATATAATAAGAACACAAAAAAAAAACTATGCAAATTTCCATTGAAGACCGACAAATTCAAATCCACTCTTTGCAATACTCACTCTGCTAATCAATCAAGATGGTTCATGCATTGAACTCGACACTCCTATGTTATGATGTTTAGCACCAAAAAAGGGAGCAGGACATACAATATAGTTATTTACTTGTCATTTTCATTGCTGATTTCTGGTTAAGCTTTTCATTTGTATAGTATGTGATATCAGGCTACTCTCTCTGACCTGCCAATGATTAAGAATTTATCAATAAGTTCAGAGTTATTATACCTGCCACAACTTCTACAACAAAAGCATCAAATAAAGTTCATCATAAGTGCTTTTAAGCTTAAACACTTATTTCCGGATTACAAAACTTACCTGAATAGTTCTAATTGTTGATAAAAGATCTTGGCACTCTTCAAGCAAACAACGCTCCTTCGCACTTAAGTTGTCAAGTTCAACTACCAGTGACTTTACATTTACAACCTATAAATGGCAAATGCTTTCAGGTATTTTTCAATGCCAAATTGCTAAAGTCCAAAATATATGTAAATTCATAAAATGTAAATTCATAAAATGTAAATATGTAAATTCTCAATCATAACAAAAGAAGATCACAAAGGAAATAAAGTAAACTAGATGAACCAACTCAGAAAATTAAATGGACAAATGTACCAAGTCGAAATATTCCGGCAATGGGAAAAAATCATTCAGATAGCAAGAACTGATTCTACGGAATCAAAAAATCTTTATATACTTAAATGCTTTGTTAGGTAAAGAAAAAAACAGGGTTTAACATTGTTTTTTCATTACTTCAAATTCTTGGAGGGAGGTACAAATATAAAGAATATAACAATGTAAGGACATGTAATATATACATTTTAACACCCATTATGAATCACATCTCATGACAATTAAATTTAACTCAATAAAATAGTAGTAGATAGAATACTTAGGAATTTACTTAAAACAAGGAATGATATTCTAAAGCAAAGCAACATTGATTCTTTTAGTGACTTGGATAACTTTCCGTCTCACTAAGAAGATGTGTTGTAAAAATGGCACTCCGCCTCACATCAAATAATGTTAATTCGTAGATTGGAATGTGGTAATCAAACGACTAAAAGGAAGGCTATATTGTAGACAATTCTAAATATTAAAAGGATACTAAAAGACAGAAGCAAATAAAATAAAATAGATCTATATAGGGTGCATTGAGTTATGTACAGCTAGTAAATTATAAGTAAAATCAGCTAAGTTTGAAATCCGAAACTACTGCTATTACAGTATAATAATAGTATATGAAAATAGGAATAGGAAATATAGCTTCTGATGATTATAAAAGCAGAGTTTGATAATATGTTAAGTAGATTTTATAGAGATGATATTATTGTTACAGGAGGAAAGATGCAGTTCTTACTTAGTATGTTTGAATCGGAAACTGGTTAGTTTTATTGACTGTGACAACATCATCCAATCGTTCGTAACATAAAGTCTTAAAATGTTCTGTGATGCTGGGCCACATTTTTAAGTCTCAGTACAGGAGAGAATAGAAGTTGAAGCGGTTCAGATGTGAAGTTTTAAGAAGCTTGATTGTACTAAAACGAAACAAACTCTATAATGACATTCCACTTTTGTGCTTATGAACCTCTTAAAACTTCTTAAACTTTTGTGCTTTTCATTTTCGGGTTGCATTGATTCTCGTGCCTATATATGAACCTCTTAAAATTGTTGTGCTTTTATTTTCGGGTTGCTTGGTAAGAGACACAAATATATGCCTAGAATAACTTCAGTTGATTTTCTACCACAATCATAGAATTTACCATCACTTTAAAAAAAATATAATTGAGATCCAACATTCATTAAGACATCATGGAAAAAGGATTATATAACTTTGGTAACAGTGGGCATATATAAGAGACACAAATATACATAGAATAACTTCAGTTGATTTTTCTACCACAATCATATAATCTAGCCAGAGAATCATAATATACCACAATCATAGAATATACCAATCAGTTTGTCACAAATATAATTGAGATACAACATTCATTAAGACGGCATATAAAAGGATTACATACCTTTGGTAACAGGAGGCGTATGGAGGATGCCATGGCCTGCATCACATCCATTGCTGAACAGATGGCGTCCTTCAAATTTAGTAAATCTATCTGTAGCAAAATACAAAGGTTTCATATTAATCCAGATATGATAATAGGTAATAGCAATTGAATTACTTTGTAAGTGAGTAACTATAATATAATAATTAGAGAAATAACAGAAAACGATAATACCTTGGCCCCACCAAAAACAGGAAGGCGTAAGGTGCTGGCCTTTAGCGCTTCAGTTGCTCCGGAGAGAGAACCAGAGTACACCGGATCCAGTTTAGCCCAGTCTTCCAAATAGATCATCTGAGTACAATAGTTTCTATTAAGAACTTATGAAAGCTAAACATGAAGCCAATGTAACCATATCCACCTTATCTACAACTGGAAGTAAATATGTCTCGAGCATATGATGAAAAGAGAAAAGTATAGATAATGAATACATTTTGGCAAAACTTCAATTTGCCAAAAATATTCCTATTAACCTCTAGCAGAGAACAACACCGCACAGATGAGCTTTAGTTAATGTGCTCAGACATGATAAAAAATGGACAAGTAATAAAACTATCTACATGAAGCCAAGTGCCATGGAATGATTGTCATTCTATAACGGAGGAACTCACACAAATATTTAAATAATGGAGAAACAATTAAAAATTCATATCAGTGCTAACATACAACAGTAAATTCAGCACATGTAGCTAAGGATCATACTTGCTCCTTGAAGATGGATATTAGCTTGAAATGTAGCTTCAACAGCTGTAACTCTACTCTTTTGGCTATAACAGATTCACGAAGGCTTGATGTAGCTTCCCAAGCACCATAGAGGCTTTTCTGATACAAGAAAGATTATTTAGGTAAAAATATATATTTTAAAAAAAATAAAAAACCAAACAACCAAAATGTAAGACTAAACATATATTAGTAAGTTGTATAGAACTTATAAGATCCTATATATGAATTGATCTAAACTAGAATCATAACAAAATACATTCACTATCTTTCTTTTATAATCCCAATCAACATGAGATCCAATACAGCCAAAAAATGTATTATGTCATCAATATCAACTATAACAATGTAACTACGACTGCAAAGTCAGCTTCAATTTAAACTAAAACCTTGAATATAATCTAAAAGAGTAATGCACGTGCAAGTAGAATATTAGAAGCATAACTACCGTTTAAATTCATCAACTAGCAAATACAAACATAGAACTGGCCTCTGCTAAAATGGAACTAAAATCAACACAAAACCTATTAACTATCTTTCCATTAACATCCATACAATCAACATGAGTTTCAACACAATTTCAAAGAGTAGTTCGCAAGTAATCACAACTTGAAAGAGTAATGCACATACAAGTAAAGTATCAGTATCATAACTAGCGTTTAAATTTAAAACAATTAGCAGAAAAAAACATAGAATAAGGCTCTCCTAAAATGGAACTAACATCAACAGAAAATCCATTAACTATCTTTCCATTTACATTCATAAAATCAACACGACGAGACTCTACAATTTCAAAGAGTAATTCACAAGCAATCACGACATTAATAGTAACATTTCGATCCAAACTTAAATTTGGAATTTGGAAAAAGAAAAGATACCTCAGAATTCAATGTTTGTACAGAGAGGGAAGCATCTGCCCTAGCATTCACAAACCGCCATTGCATGAGCCTGTTATGCATGAGTCTCAATGAATGTGCATCAGCTACCCTGTTCTCCCCCGTCTTCCCCCTCGGAACATCAACAGCAAAACTCAAAACAGAAGGCTCATTAACAAACCTACTAGTCAGACTACTAGCGATTCCATTTCTTCCTCGAGAAGGACTCACGCCACGGGAAGGAGACCATGGTGATGGTGAGGCTAGCGTACTCGGAGAAGCAGGACGAATAGCAGAACGAATAGGAGAACCTTGTAACCGGCTATTCACAATTCCTCGTGGAGACGATGCAGGACTAGCCAACAGTGATTTCTTCGGCACCAAAAGCTTAGGAGGATCCATAGCTCTATTTCCAATTCCACCATTCCTTGGAGCCGGAAGATCTGTTTGGCGCCGTAACGGATTATTAGCCTCCTGCAAGAACCTCGCCGGCACAACACGAGAACCTCCGTGCATTTGTTTTCCTCCATTATCCCGTGCTCCTGAGGAACTACTAGATGTTACGCTTTCGTTATCAGAAGGTACAAGTTCTTCTGGTTCAATTTCAAGTTCAGATCCGCCATTTTTGTTGCTTTCCAATCTCAACGTAGCCTCCTGAGACACTCGAGGATCCAACAACGAATCACGCAATGACCTAACCACGTTGTTTCCAGGTCTATTCGAATTCCTCAAGAAAATACCACAATCCAAGCTTCTGTTCATGAAATTCGCTTGTTGCTGTTGTGATTTCCCCGGCCACCGGTGCTGATCCAATGATCTCGAAACCGAATTCTCCATCTGCTCGGAATTTCCGTTAACTCTTCCTCTCGTAGCTGTCGGTGTATTCGCCGTAACTTTCCTCCTCTCCGGCGTACTTTTCCTCACACTCTGACTCGCCGGCGGCGGTTTCGCTTTACTGACCTGAAACGAAAACGACTCTCCCTGGAACGAAACAGACAAACTCCTAGTCGAAGTAAGCAGCATTCTCTGAGCAACCGGAGTCTCACCGCTAGGTCGAGGAGTTCCAAGCCTTCTCCTTTCCGTCGACTGAGACCGCTGCATCACCGCCGGCGTCAGTTTCTGTCTCATCAAATTCGAATTCACCGCTCTAGTCACCAACGGCGAGTTACTTCTTTTAGGAGGCGACGAAAAAGACGACGAAGAAGAAGAAGACGAAGACATATAACGAGAAGTAACTTCTCGTACTTTCGGCCTTCTCGGCGGAGCGATTGCATTGTCCGATTCAGAAGGTAACAACGGTGGCCTCTTCGGCGTTGGTGCTCTCTTCGTAACTTTCGTTGTGGATATCGCAGTCACCATTTCTCTCTCAAAATTTCAATTCCAATGCGAAATGTACGAATAAAACGAAACTCATCGTTCCAAATCAGAACCCTAAAAATCAAACCATTACCGCGAAGCATTAAGAATCATAATGTAGCAGAGAAAAAATCGCGAGCGTGATTGAAAAAATGGGAGCGAAAATTTGACCGTTACGTTTCGCCGTTGCTAAAACTGTGCGTGATGAGTGTAACTGTCATATATGACGAGAGAGTCACACGCGGCGTGATTGTAAATTTGGATTTGGAAAAATTAACACCGAAAATAAGAAGGTGGAAGCTGAGCCACCAGAAAGAGTGAAGCGAAAACTGTGACACACGTACGCGCGTAGTTAGAGAGAATAAATGCACTCGCCGTGACTGAAGTTTGTTGAAGAAGGGTATTTTTGTCAATTAGGATAAGTTTGCGTCATTTTGTTGTGGATTCGTGGGGCTTGACGCTTGAGCCTTTGTTGACACGCTATTTTATTTATTTATTTAATTATTTGTATTTTTGACTAATATTTTTTTATTTTATGAAATAAATAAAAATACCATGTAGTAAACGATGAAAACGACGTAAAAGAGTATAAATAACAAACCTTGAAGTTGGAAGTGGATATTTGCTTTTTGCCTGAGGGAATGAATCTTCAGAGAGACGTTACGCAAACGACACTGCTTCGTTTTTGCTATGTGTACAAATTTTTTTTCTTGATACATAAATGATAAATCAACTTACAAATTTAAAATAAACTTCGTTTTTTACTCGATAATAATGTAGCATCTAACTCCAAAAAAAAAAAAACGTAGCATCTAGTATTATTTTATAATTATTATAATTGATTGAGGTTTAGAGCTTGGATGATTTTGAGGTTGCTTTGAAACTTGTTGAGTTTTAACCTTATGCATTTTCAGTTGTGGTGTATTATCTTTTTTTATAATTTTATTGATATTTATATGAATTTAATTGAAGTATATTGATCGTACCATCAATAAATTATAACTGTTAAAATTTTATAAATATTTAACTTTTTTTAATTATATATAAAACATTATTTGTAAAGGATTATGATGTAATTAATCTATATTTATATTTCTCATGTTCCAAGAATTGCTAATAATGAATTTTTTTTAATGATGATGAAAATGAAATTAGAAGCTTTTTTTATAAGTCAGATTTTGTTAGGAGCTAAATTAAGTTAGGAAACAAGATGATGATGGTTGTTGAATCATGTTTGGATTATTTTGTAATGGAAATGCATTCATTAAGTTCTAAAGTGCATGTAAAATTTTCTATCCTTCCTATTTGTCCATCTTTGTAATTGCTCTTTGGGTGTGATCAAAGATATTCCAGCATGATGTTTGTTAGGACGAACAGATTAAGTTAGACCACTTCAGCTCATGGTATCTGAAACACGAGAATCATAAATGTAGGACATGCAGGATCATTGATGTTAATTATGTGTCTTGCTCGCTTCAATGACGGAGTTGAAACTATTAGTTATGTCTAATTCAATAGTTTGGTCAAGGTGGCATCGTTTCATAAAAGTCCTTTATATCCATTACTATAGATGAAAACAACATTATATTAAAGCCTTGCACTAAGGGAGATAAAGATAGTCTGATAATGCCTGGGAGTAGTGAACGAACTTTTTATGTTATTTTCAACACGGAAGTGGATATCCCATTTCATGTGTTTGAGTTGGAGGTCTTGCACACCGTTAATGTCTCCCTTTCCCAAGTACATATGAATAGTTGGGCTTTCATTAGGGGGCTTGAGATTAAGTGTAAGGGTTTTGGGATCACGTCTACGATAAGCTTTTTCTTCTATGGTACCAGGGGCATTGACAAGTGCAGTTGGGTTTCCATAAACGCCCTTGCAAATAGGTGCATGTTCCCCGTACTTGTTAAACTACAAGAATTAGAAGGATAAGTTTGTATAAGTACGGAGTAATGAGGAGTGCTCGAAGGTTATTTTAAAGAGATCAAAGAGTACCGATTTACATTGGACAACTAATCATGTGTCGATAAACGACTTTAATATGATAAGTTTATAGAGACGAAGAAATATGTTGTTGATTTCTTAGGATAGTTCATGCTTTGTGGTACACACTTTTGTGGTGGTAAAGATGTTGAGTAGGATGTTGTTACATGAAGTTTGACATTAAGAACTCAGTCTTTTGTTCATAAGCAACAAACTTATTTTCTATATTTATGGAATTGTAGTCAAACTCAATTCCTTTCATATCTCTAGTAATATGTGGTATCATAACTAGAATTTAGCATGTGAACCGACTTAGTTATACCTTTAATCTTGTAGTTCAGGTATGTGACTTCTTCCTTAAGATTATGATTGCTCTGATAAGATTTTCCATGTCTTGAAGCAAAACATTTATATTTTCCTTTTGTTTCTCACCAGATGTGCATTCCTTTTCCCGCTTGAGATACAGTAGTCTATATGCTTCAACGACATCTTTATCTTTGAGATCTTCGTCATTGAATTCACCATCATCCTGAATATTTAACTTGACTCTCACACATGTTATTGATAACTCATATTTTGTGAGTTATTATAAACTCTAACACTTAAATTTATCTTTTAACTTTAGTTATTTACTAGTCCAATTAATGCATGTTTGTTGTTTTTGAGTAGATTATAAAGAGCATAATATGTGCTCTCTTTTGTGTATTTTTATGTGTTTGTTGCTTGTGTATAGATGACTTCTGATGAGTTCTAGTATCAGAGTATTGGAACAACACTTTAGCCTCAACTTTGAGAAGAGAGTTAGACTAAACAGGGGATGCAACAGAAGTTACAAAGAATAAACATTCACAATTTAAGGGCTTACGTGACACCAATCAATAAGATGGAATGTATTTGAATCAAATGGCAAAGAGATAAGATCAAGGCGTTAGAGGATAAAATATACACAACAATCCACCCACTATAACACCCAGCTTGTCTCCCTACTGTAAAGGACAACTGCAATACGTTGTTGTCTGCATACCTGCGTCACTAGCCTGCCACAAGAAACTTTGGCTCCCACATGTTGATTGTACCTGACTCTACAATGGTCTGAAAAATAAGAATTTGAGGGAAACATATTGATTCTTTTGGACCAAAAATCACGAATATCCAAAAACCCATGATCTAGGACACCACAAAAACCTTAGATAAAAATGACTATAAAAGGACCTATCGGAGAAAATGCAAAGGAGGTTCAGAAGCTCAGAGAGAAACACTTAGTGAAATTTAGTGAATAGAGAGAGTTAAACAAAGTGAAGAGTTTCTTATTCTCATAATCTCAAGTGTATGCTACCAGTATCTGGCGTGATAGATTTCATCTCTTGTTGATTGAAGATTGCAAGAAGGTGAAGAAGTTACTCTTAGATTTTCATTTCTTTTCCATTATGTGTTTAAGAATGTTTAGCTTAGGATCCAGTATTGATGTATGTAATAATCTCATAATGAGCTAAACTCCTTTATGTTGATCAATGTGAAGTTAATATGAAATAGTTGTTTGTGTTAAATGATGTGGTGTTAGGGCTTTACTTTACATGCATTATATTCTCATAAATTTTCTTTTTTGAATGATTAACTTAGGAAAAGATACAAGATTTTTATTGAAAGATATTCAATAACAAGTGGATTTTCATGATAAAAGTGATTTAAAATAGTATGATATAAATATTCACTAGATTAGCTACTTTAGATATAAAGAGCTATAATCATAGAGGACATTCAGAATAAAATCAAACATGCTTTAAAGTTACAAGTGAGGCTTGTAGGTGTTTAGTTATTGGCATGTATTTTTGGTAAAACCAGGTGTGTGAATGTCATGACTGATGTCATAACATTCTGGTTTATTAGGTACAGGTTTATTAGGTACCTTTGCAGAAAAATAATGGCATACAGGTGTTACTGTGTATGAGTGTGTATCTGAGCATTTTGCAAAAGATCACATTTATTGCCAAAATCAGTAAACAGGAATTCTGATGTCATAACAAATGTTAAGACATCCTGTACTGATCTAACAGTAGTGCAGTTTGGTTAATTCTGAGTTTTTTCAGGAAGTTGGCTCATTCCTTCCAGAACAGAATCTCCCGTTGTCTTTGGGTTAACCTAGCTCAACCCTAAACTGGTTGATAAAGTCTTGTGACCAAGTCTTATAGTTAAACCTAATTAACCCTAGCTTTTTGTGGAAACCCTAACTGAAGAAACAGCTGCTATATATTCAACAGGACTGCTGTTTGGAAAATAACTCTTTTGGACTAAAGATCAATCAGAAACTGTATAGTTTTAACTAATGTAATTCAAGCAATTATCATTGTGATAAGTGACTTGGAATAGGTTTTGTTTGTAAGGGTTTTTGTACCACTCAAAGCTTTGAAGCAAGAGTGTTTTGTGTCTCTTGACTAAAGCTTTGAAGCAAAGTCAAGTTAGGTTTATGTATCACTCAAAGCTGTGAAGCAAGAGTGTTTGTGTTACTTGATTAAAAAGCTGTGAAGCATAATCAAGTGTATGTTTTGAAGAGTGTCTTCATTAATTCATTAGTCAATTGTTTTAAGTATCACTGCTGTGATTGAGGGGGAGTGAGTAGGAACTCAGGTTTAAGTAGAACTTAGATTGAAGTTGCATTGGGTAGGTCTTAAGTGAAGGAGATAAACTGGTTGGTTTATTCCTGAATTAATATCTCTTATAGTGGATTTCCTCCCTGGCTTGGTAGCCCCCAGAGTAGGTGTTGTTTCACACTGAACTGGGTAAACAATTGTCTGTGTTCTTTACTATTTTTGTATTTACTGTCTTATAGAAAGTCAGATACGGTGTCATAACATTGACTGTGACATTGAGTATCTGCAGCCAGAATTTCAAGGCTTATATATTTGTCTCCTGCTTTACTATATATGTTCGTGATGTTGTAGAGATACGCCACTGTGATCGGTGGATCTGGAACTGACTGTTTAACGCTGGTTCGCGAAATGTCGCAGAAGCAAGAGTCGCCA